ACCTAATCAAAAAGAAGTCTGCTTTCATGGTGCTGAACCTGCGTGAGATGTTACAGTAATGAAAGTGTAGAAAACGCGCGCACGTTTTATGCAGAAAACATTTGTTTCCATTCACAGTCCTTTCCATTCCGCCTCGTCTCAGCCCGTCTCAACCGTTTGAATCTACGGGTCCCAGTCAGTGAACGGACAGACTCTGCGTGTGGAGCGAAACGAGTCTGTCTGGGCACCCACAAGGGCTTGACTGACCCTTCCTTTCTAAAGCCTTCATCACTTGGGTCTATCCTACTACCAGTAGGACGTAGCGGTGCACGATGATGGTTAGTAAAAGTTTCTCTAAAATAAGTGGTATTTGTTTACTGACTATTACAGGTAAGTTCGGACAGACCTAACCTATCACCATACCCATTACATGCATGATCTATTTCTATCCATGTTCTATCTATTTCTATTTCTATCCATTTCTATGCGTCCTATCCGTTCTTCCTATCCCTTCTTCTATGCAGAGCCTTCCGCACGAAGAACCCAGAAACAAAACACACATCACCCGCGCCCCCCTCGACTGATCGGAGAGTTCCGGGTCTACCTGGTCGGCCATGAGTTCCAGAAAGGAGCTGCGGGAGGCCTCGATCGAACCGGGGCGGCGAAGGGCTCGAGCCCGTGCCCAGAGCTGCCCGTGCGGGGCAGCTCCGTGCAGCTCAGGTTTCGATGGACAAAACGGACTGGAGTCGAGGTCAAAGATGGAAGCATGTTCACTGGTTGGGTTGGTGGTTTCAACTCACTGGTTGGTGGTTTCAACTCACGAGTGAAACTATTGAGTCAGTGGAGCCGACTGAAGACAAACACCTCCAGTGGAACAGTGTTCAGACTGAAGACAAAACAAAAGAGCTCTGGCCACCTCCTATAGTCACATTTTCCAATCTCAGTTTGAAGATATAGCTTCGTTCCCACCTGTTTGGCCTACGAAAAGAAACGAGTTCCGAAGAAATTAAGGCGTTGAGGGGGTGGTGGTGAAGCCGCTGGTTAGAAGGGTAGGGACCTGTGCAGCGCACGGGAAGATCACTCGCAACAGGTGCAGCTACAGTGGGAGCTTCCCTGGGTTCCAAGCTCGTTCACCTTTGCACGAGTGATATAGACATTCTCCATTCTTGTTTGTTAGCCGGGTTAGCTGAATGTGCTGAATGTGAGGTTGGAGGCCATTGCGATATTTCTGTCTACTCTCTGACGTAGTATTCTCTTATTCGTTCGATTGAATGAACCAGTTCTGGGCGATCTCGATGTCGACCGTCCGACGCCCAAACCGGCCCAGGTGTCCACCTTCTCCAACGGTCCCTGCCTCCGTGGCTGGCCAAATGAGCCAACTGTCGATGTGATACAAGTTCAAGACCTTGGAGTGGTTTCAGCCTTTTGCGGTTCTTTTCACCATTCAGTGGGGTTGACTCCATCCTGTTGACCAACCGGCAAGTCGACGCCTCTGTCACAGGTATGTCAAAGTGACCAGTCAAGGCCTGTCAGAGGTCTGTCAATCAGCAAGTCTGCTCTGGGGCGCGTACTTCCATACTCAGCGGTGTCTGTGGCATCCCCTGAGCCCGCCAAGGGGCGAGTCTGTCAGGGGACTGCAAAGACTTGTGCCGATCGGATGAGGCGATCAGGAGAAAGATCCAAGTTAAAACCAGTGAGCCCAACTTTCCTTTCCAGCACTTTAGAACAGCTTTGAGCCCGCCTAGCAGTTTGGTGATCAATCAGTGGACAAAAAGGGACCTCAGTTCCCACTTGGTGCATCAGTGATCTGACTGGATCCACAACCGCCAGGGTCCCGCACCGCCGCTCCGGCGGCTCGAAACCACCGCGGTGAAAGCAAATGGGTCGTCTTGGTGACCGCAGAACTGGAGGTTTGCTGCAAAACTCAGTTCTGCACGCTGCGCACGTCCTCTGCATTGTTACTGGAGGTGTCCAAAAGTCTAACTAGGTTTGGAATCTATATAGTTCTGTACCATTCCAAAAGCACCTCTAGGCTTCACTTCATTATGATCACTATTTTGAGGAGGCAGTGTGTACTGGAGTGAATCACCCTCTCGACCCATCCAACTCATCATGCCATGAAAATCAATGCCTCCCAGAAAACCCAAACCCCACAGATCGACCAAAAGTGGTGAGATCTGCTTCGCCTTTGAAGAATTCCCGGTGAGGTCAACCTCATCCTTCGGGAGGTCGTACCAATGAGAACACGCTTCTTGACAATACCTCGGTGGACGATGTTTCATTTCAAACCCGGCGAAGCCGGTCGTACGACAGCCGGCTGCGCCATGCCCCCTTCGTTGAGAAAAACAGAGCGCAGCTACACGTTCTTTTTTGATCTTTTTTGATGCGTCAGGCGCATGCTTGCGTTTCAGTTGCGTTTGGACTACGATCTTCCATGGAACTGTTTGGGGAAATCTGTGTAGCAGCTAGCTGCTAGCTTCCTGACTGCTTGATCGTATGAATATCCTTCGCTCCTCCAACCAGGATGAGGGCTCGAACCGTTGGGAGTTGTCCGACAAGGTTGATAGATAGAGGCAAGCCTTGATGAACGCCCTAAAATGCCAAAGGGCCTAGGATTCTCTGGAGATCAGAACAAATCTGCAAACAAATTGACATAGATTTTCATATACCCTGTATTCAGCAATCCTTGAAAAGGAAATGGTCCCTTTCGAGACAGTTCTTCCTCCACAAACAGGCGCAGTTCACTTCCATAATTGTTGGATGAAGCCTACCTACACGTGACATGTGATTCGCACTACACTTGACTGGACTCGTCTCGCTGTCCTTGAGATGTGCGCATCAACTTTGGTGCAGGATAAAACACAAAATGGGTTTAGTTAGGTCAATATCCCAAACAAATCCAAACAAACACCCTAGAAGCCAACAGAAACATGTACGGTTGTCTTCACCCTTATCTGGAATTCCATCTTGGTATCATATTCCTGTCCAATTCTTCTTGGATGCTCAGCATAAAAACGCTTCGAAGTGAAATTCAAACAACCACACTTCATCCTTCTTGTCTGGGCTGTGAACCTGCATTGTCAACATCAAAAGGTGCTTGGATGTTCTTGGCCAACTCAAACGGTTTCTTGGACGAGGGAGAACTGCAGCAACCTGGACCCCAAACAGAGTCTCCTGCCTACCCCAGCAAATCATTTGTTTAAAGGTCAACGATGATATAACGAATGTCTTTCGAACTAAATGTCTATTTCGTTTAAAGCTGGCATGTTTTGTTGGGGTGCCACAATCTCATGAGCAGTGCGTCAACACTGTTGAAGATTCTCACACAATGCAAAGGTCCGAGTTCCTTCGTGACCACCTGCTGGTCGGGCTCATCTGAGTTGCTTTAGGACTCGTCGGAGTTGTGCCACTGTCATGGACCTGGCGAACACCGTTGTGCTACGCCAACGAATGGGCTGGACGTACAACGTTTGGCTTCGTACTTGGGCAATCTTTAGGAGGCCAAAGATCGTTGAACGTCCCAAGGAGGTGCAAAGTCTGCAAAACTGCTAAGATGTTCAACCCGACACCAGTTTCATCCGTGTTCATCCTGTGATCGGTCTGACTCCACTCTGCCTGTCTTCAATCTTTGGAATGTAGCCCTTGAAGCGAAACCTGAGGAAACCGCGGCGGGGTGAGCGTTGGGACGGCCTTGGGATAAAAATCTGACCAAACCAGCCGACCAAGCAACACGACAGCTTGCTAAGGCCCCTGAGTCCAGCCAGACCATTCAGGGTCCGGTGGAGGGCCAAGCATATATGTAGGGAGTGTATATACCTGGAAGGGGAACCTGAATGACCTCTATTTTGGACCACCAACCACCAACATATTGTCTTTTCCTATCAAGACAATTCAACACAAAGGTTAAAAGGGTTCCAGGTATGTATATATAAATATATAAATAGACAGCACACATAGTCAGACTTTTATGGTGCACACAGCTATCCCATGCCTAATTATTGCAAACGTCTTGCTTGCTTGAACATCGAGCTCATTTAAGATACAGTCAGGCTCATAGTATGAACATATCGTGTAAGTGGATGGCGTGGCCCCTTTAAATGACCGTTTTCCTCTACAGTCAGGCTCATAGTATGAACAGATGGTGTAAGTGGATGGTGTGGCCCCTTAAGATGACCCTTTCCTCTACAAACCGGTGGTTGCAAGGCATGAATCCCTGCCACGGAAAAGAACAACACCAACCTCAATCCATCGGATTCCATCGGAATCGATTCTTGGATGTAGTTCATCGGTCGACCGCCGGTAGCTCAGTCCCCTCTGAGTTGTGAGACTTCTTCCCCAGGTTCTGGAGGTGTCCAACATCGTAATCCTGGAGATGTCCAACCGGACGACGTCGGAGGCGGGGTCGACCGAACGACGTCGCAGGCACCTTCGCCTGACCGTCGGGGTCGGTCGCTCGAGCTTGGAAGGTCTGACCGTCTGACCATCCCAGGACGTTCTGAACTGTTGCCTTCAAAGATCTTCCTGGATTCTGAGGTGTACTTTGATCTAGGACAAGTATGTTGTGAATCTCAATCTGTCTAAAAGATCTACCGCCTTGATGTTTGCTGAGAGGTACTAACAATCTATCCATGCACCTGGAGCTGAGCAGGACCCAAAATGCTACTGGCACTGATTGAAGGATTGTAGTATTGTAGCATTCATTTGTGTTCCGATCAATACACGTGTCCCCAACCTTGAAGAATGAAATCCAATGGCCCCTTTCTTTCGGTGTCCTCGCGTTTGGCTGCACCCAGTGCCTGCAGCGGGCCGAGGGAAGAGGATCGAAAAGTCGTGGTTGACACGAGCAAATGTCAAGGCCCAGCAGGGATTCAACCTTGAGTATATGCCAATGTAGACTCTTGATTAATCACCCCTCACTTTAATTTGACATCCTCTTCAAGCCTGGGGGCTTATTGATCAAGAGCCCACACCACCAGTCACGGTGTGTCTTTTTCCAACATGGAAGTCAGGAAGTGACACCATCACTTCGAGGCGAGGGGTGAGCGATGTGTTTGGTGGAATGTTGCTGGATGGTTACTGGTGAACTGTAGGTCTTGCAGGTCAGGGAGACCCCAAAAGAACAGTGATCCTCTTGCAGTCGGACCAAACGTCCCCCGCAGATCGCCGGGATATCCCTGAGGCCTGGCAGTTGATGTCCGGATCCACAGCCCTCTCCCTTCCGGCACGTCGGCCATCCGGCGCCACCTTTTCGGGCATATCTCTTTTGCTTGTTCACCACATCTGCCCATCATCTCTATGGCCGCCTGCTCGGCCGAAGCGCGCTTCAGCCGTCGGGCGCCGTGGCTTTCCACGCCCGGTGGCGCCTCTTTGAGGCGTCGGGCCGCCGAGGGCAGGTTGAGGGTCTCGCAGAGCCCGGCCACCGCCGTGGCCCGCAGCTGGTCCGAGCCTCGAGGAGTGACGCGGCCACCGGTGACCAGAGCGGTGACTAAGGGGAAGGAACATGGAGGAAAATGCAAAAATAAGTTCATGGATTTTGATCTTTGGACATTCTTTGGATATCGCACCGGCTAGTTTTGAACCATGTCGGCATATATATCCACACATAAAAAGACTAGAATGCGCGTCTGATTCAGTTCTAGTCGGACTGCAGTAGCTGTGTCCTCCAACTCTTGGTGTGAAATGAATCAACTTATAGAACACAATAGACATTTGAGCGACCGGCAAAACTAGGGGTCGTTTGGTGGGCAGCTTTAAGGCAGGTATCGTTTTTGGGATTGTTATCGCGTGTATTGTTCTTTTTAAAGCAAATCCTTCTGCAACATTTTTGGAGCTATCGTCTACATGTAAGTTGCTGTGGCAGGTAATTTTGCACATAAAAAGTCAACATATGGTAGTAGTAGCCGTCGTCGTAGTAGTAGCAATAGTAATAGTAAGAGTAAGAGTAATATAGTAGTAGTAGTAGTAGTAGTAGTAGTAGTAGTAGTAGTAGTAGTCGTAGTCGTAGTCGTAGTAGTAGTAGTAGTAGTAGTAGTAGTAGTAGTTGGTGGTGGGTGGTGGGTGGCGCTGCCGCTGCCGCTGCCGCCGCCGCCGAAGTAGAAGCAGTGGCAGTAGTAGTGGCAGGTAAGTGGGCAGGTGGTTTCCGAGGGCATACAGACCTATGAAGTGGGTATCGTTTGGTATCGTTTTGGTATCGGTCTAAACCCACAATTGTTTCCCATCGAAGAAGAAGGATGAAGAAGGGACAGTGAGCAAACACAAAATGGACATGTCCAAATAGCATGGCAAACCATATGCAAAAAAGCCTTGGACATACGCTGTATCGAGTGTCAGTATCAATAGGCAAAGATAGATTCCAAGATGTGCACCGTCACAAGGCTAGGTATCGTTTTTGGGATTACTATCGTGTTTTCAAAGAAAATTCAAATTGCAATTGTTTGAAGAAATCTGAGTGCCGACCTTTAGCACTTTGCTTATTTAAACTCATCCAGAGTTCCACAACAAGTTCAAGTCTTGGACTAAGCAGGTGCCAACAGAAACGATCGGTGCCAATGCTTTTAAGAGGGAGCTGACTTTTCTATGTATATATTTTGGCAGTTCTTGGCATTGTTCAAGGTTGAAGTCTTTACCTCGCCAATCTGAGCCTTCTCTGTCTAAGCTTCAAGCGCACCACGCGCGGTAGCTGCCTGGCCTGCCGCGAAAAACACATTGCGCATTCTGAAATGAACGTGTCATGTAAATCCGGCGACTATTGCAGGGCGACCAATCGTGTGAATTCTAGTGGTACAGAAAGAGACGTTTCTCGAATATGAAGGCTAGCAATAATGGCCAAGAGTTAAAACCATCAATTTTCGGGACAAGTCCCAAAATGTCCCAAAGCTTCATTTAGTCACTTCCGATTCAGAGACAACCCCTGTGTCTGTCCCGTGCCGGATGTTTCAACCAAAGACTGACAGGCCGAACCGACATATATGCTCTGATCGTGCTCAGGAATTGCAAAGACACATGCGGCCTCATTGCCAAATGCCGGGAGTTTTCATGACCCTAGCCCGGCGAAAAGAAAAAGCATGAACAAACTGAGTCCAAGAAGCAAATGCAACATCAGAGTTCCCTGCTCTTCTGCACCAATTCCATGGCCTGCCACCACCCTGGAACCCTGGGCACCTCAGTGATGGCATGTTGGAGGTCGTTGCGTGCCTTGAGCATCGCATCCTGGCGGCCCCGTGACACGTGGCTTTTGCCAAGAAACATCTGGAAGGGATGTTTTTATTACTATTGTTTTCCAACACCTCGGGCTAGTTTTGACAAACATGATGTCTTGAAAAAAAAAACACATAAGAAATAAAGTAACATAACAACTATATTTGAATAATTATATTATACTATATTCTTCATATTTATACTACATATATACATCCATACACATCAAAATTCATTCTTGATTTATACGGTCTTACAATTCAGTTGTGTCGGGCCACCATGATGATGTGTGTCTAAAATCCATGCACAACGCTTTAGGCTGGACACAAAAAGTGTCTGAACGGCCACCCATGTGTCAGCTTTTATGGTAATTGATGCGTTCAGTAGCGATGTCATTGTCATGATGTCGTCGACCCCTGGATGATCATTGCATGTTCAGTGTAAAGGCATCATATACACGTTTCATATTGTTTAACCATATTTATTACTTATCATGGCACGAGTGTGTGTTTGTTGATCAATGTGGATGTGCAGCCCCCCCATTTCGCCAGGACCGAACATCGCCATCGCAATCGTGACCGAGATTCTGCACTTGTTCTGTCTCATGAGGTGAACATCATTCCATTTCTGGCCTCATTTCTTCCCTGGGCACCAAATCAAATAGATGATAATAGATGTACATTTAAGGTTATATACTAAGGATTCTAGAAAGAGGCCAAAAGACTTCGGGGGCTGCCCCCGACTGGTTCTTTCAAAGGCGTCCATGCGCCATGCGAAAAAGGCGCCGCTTCTCCGGCCAGTGACCGAGGCCTCCCGGAGCTTGTCGGCGTTCTCCGTCAGCAGCGCTCCAAGTTCGTAGATGACCTTGGGCGCTTCGTGAAAGCCAATGAGTCTAGGAGAATTGGGATGTTACAATACAAGCTTGTATATATTGAGTTATCTTTTCTCTCATGGTTTTTTCCTTCGAAGTACCGTAAAGATTCAGGATTGTCAGGATTCCATTGTACAATGAGCTGGTTGGCAAAGAACCACATAGAAGTCGATTGTAGCAATCGATTCATTGCGCTTCACAATCATGTTTTTTTTTGACTTTGACAACATATACTTTGACTGTAGTGTTGTCCGTGCATGGTTATTCACCGATAGTATATGATAGCTGTGCCCCGCAAAGCTCCCGCAAAGCGCAAGCTGAACACACGACCTCCGATGGGGCGCTGCGCAAGTAGTACGCGGAAACACAACACATCCAAACAACCTACAGCGTCCAAGAGTCCAACCATCTATATCTTTCACAAGAAACTGCCTCACTCTGACGTCTGCGTCATCATTCGCCATCTTGCCCAAGCCCGACAAGGACCTGCCTTTTTTCAAGTTCTCTCTGGTCGGCCCCCCCAACCCTCAGCTTGCCCTTGTCGGTGAAGGATTCCCAATTCGAATGCTGGAGCGCGAAGTCTCGCAGTGTCCACAAGCGGCCTGGGGCCGGAGGCCGTCGAGTGCCGCTTGCGTCGAGGCATTTCCTCCGATCGACCGGGGTCTGTGAGGCCCCACAGTGGGTCCACCAGTTGTCGCTTCTGAGAAAGTATTTGGGACGGGTTTGGAGGGTCCAAATACCTGAGAATGGACTTGGAGCCCTACATAGGGAGGCTCAAGTAATCACCCATTCCGGAGTTCGCGGTCCGAAGAGGACAGATTTTGCATGACACAAAATGACCGGCTGTCGCGGCAAACGTTGAAAGACACTTCAGAGGTCATGGTTTGAGAGCGAATTGGGCTGGGCTGAGAGGTCATGTCCGCCCATGCCACATATCTGCCATGCAAAAAAAATCTTCGAACTGTGTCTCAAAGACCCCCCTGACATGAGTCCTTGCCCTGCCATCTAGAGCTCACTAGACCCACCGAGCTTGCACTCCCGTCGCTCGGCGTCTTTGTGGGATCAGCTTGCACCCCGCCGCCACACGGTGGCCGAAAAAAGAAGCACCTGACCCTTCACCCTCCGGAGACGAAGGCCTGTCTACGGCTACGGGGTTTCAGTCACTTGGCCAATTCAGCGATGGTTTCGCTCGTCAACTAGACAACTCTAGTTCCACTTAGCAGCTTGGAAAAGAAGTCGTAGGTAGGACGGGTTGGTCGCCAGTTCAGTCAAGCTTCAGTCAGGGCTCAGCTGCGGCCAATGGCTTCGCTTCACCTATGGAATACAAGGGGCCTCACCGGGGACATGTGGTTTCTGTGCTCTGCAGGTCCCTAACTCTGATGGCCGTGGTTAAGACTTGGTCTTTTTGACACATTTCCTCGCTGGCCTGTTGGCAGTTTTGTTGACTCATGCTTTAATTCCTCTTTTCATTAACAAGGACATCAGCTTTCTCTGTTGAGGATCATTGAATCATATCTTAAGAATGGGCCGAATGTCGTAGAGTTCAACCCCGTCTGAAAACTATATAATGTCTTGAAAGGGTTTAGAAAATGTCTATTCAACAACAGTCGACAAAGCATGATATGTCATGATAGAATGGCATCTTCTAAATGTATTGATAGACCTCCAAACCCACCCCAAACATCTTGAGAAGGAGGCACTGGCACCTGAAAACTCGATCTCACATTCTACGCATTCTATAACTTTTGAATCCAACATGGTACCAACATGGTACCACATGGTTTCTGTGCAAATGAATGCCCAAGAGAGAGTCACGACAACTCTTTCGATCATCAAACTCCAAGCCCACAGTCTAATACAGTCTACCACTCTCTCATACTCCAGCGCCCCGGACTTGCAAATACATGTACTCCTGCTGAAACCGCGCAGCTGCTCGACTGAGGATCGGTTTTTCACGACCCAACAAACATGGGACATCTGACCCCAAATAAACACACCCTTGGAAATGGACACCGGTCTTCTGAATGCAGTCTGAGGTGTGATGGCCACATGGGACATCTGGTACTTGGATGTAGTTAGGCTAAGCAGCTAGTTTGGCCCATGGCTGCCATTGCCTCACAAAATCAGATGCTTCTCAAACCACCTCCACATGCAACAGGACCCAGAGCACATAAGCGCACATACACACATAGGCTCACACACCTACCCTTCTCGTCCTTCTCGCCCATGACCGGATCCCGAAGGCTCCTCCGCTTTGCCCACCCGTTCAGAGCCCTGCAGTTCGCAGCCTCCGCGGCATGCGCGCGTGGTCTCTCTCGCGCGGACGGACCCGAAAGCCCCCGGAGATCCGCGGAGACACGTCTCTCGTGCGGACCGGACGGAGATCCGCTGTGGACCCTGTTGAAACCGTGGGGAGCTTTGAAGTTGATTTGGTTGAAGACTTGTTTCGCTCCGCTTTTGGGGTCAAGAGTTCAGAAGGCGCGAGCCAGTCGCCGTTTTTGTTTGGTTGGACGAATATGTTCCGAAAGCCGGTGACATATTGGGACTCCGGAGCATGGAGCCATGAATCAGGGCTTATATATATAAACAAGTGACATATTAGGTCTCATGATTCATGATGCATTGCATTGAATCATCAATCAGAATCAGTTTCTGGAACTCCACTCAGACTCAGTTGAGCTACATCTTGCTGCTGACCAATTGCCAGCAAGGACACATATATTCACCTTCTCGAACTCCTGACCCGAGTAGCTCAGGAGTTCTCTCTCTCTCTCTGCCCCAAGGCCCCTGTAACTTTAAAGGCACTTCATGAGCCGCGCAAGGGACCTTTCATCACCAGCATGTGTTGAAATATTAACAAAAAACTCCCCAGGAGGCGGAAGAAGGGCGCCAAAAGACGATATGATATGCCATATATGTTATGATCTGACCCCCCTTGTCTGGTGGTAAGTCCTGGCAGCTTTTCCTTCTATAGAAAAAAAAGGCTATGAAATACTTTGGGCATCAGTATTCTCTATAAAATGAATAGCCGTCCATTCTATAAAATGCATAGCCATATCCAGGCATATCCAGGCCTCTCAAAACCAAAAGACTACAGATCACAGCTTGGATCTATAAAATGCTTTGCCTTGAATCGATACCATAATATCACCTCCAGCAGACTGTAGAGTTGGCCTCAGAATACTGAGACCATATGCCCAGTCATTTAAACTGTAACACAAAACGCTAGGATTTCTATAAAATGGTTTTGCTGTAGAATCATAGACAATCATCGGGAACCAAAAGTGCGCTTTTTGTTTAATGAAATGAGGTGTCTCATTGTCTCACTTTGGCATGGTCTTAGCAGCAATCCTCCTTTCCCCAGTTGATCTTTCTATGAAATGATGTTGTGTAGATTTATGTTCCAATTTCCAAACTCATGTTTTTATAAAACGACCTGTGCCCAGACCATTTCATAGTGGAAACAAATACTCATTTCATAGATCGGATCAATCATGAGGGATATGATCTGATATTCCTTAATCTCCATCAGTCCCACCTGGGCCAAAAGAAACAGCGCTTCACTCCATTCACTGGGCTTCCCTTGCTGTGTAAGCGCGGAAGAAGAGATCGAAGTTCCACCGCGGATTGAGATCCCGATAGCTTCGGCCTCGTCCCGAGGATCGACGATCCGATCGGAGCCGAAGCGGTGGGGCGAACGGTCAGACGGGTCGTGTCCCTGAGGCAGCATTCTATCCCAAACACGACCCGTCTGGGACTGCCAGTCCGGACTGAGAAACGGCCAGGGGTGGTGGGTGCCAGAAGGGTCTGTCTGGGGCGGCAGTCCGTCCTGGCAGTCCATGGGAGTGTCTGGGTATTGGGAACACGTGAGTAACTGTCCTTGAGGGTCACCATGCAGGTGCAAATCTTCTTGTTGCATCCAAACACGGCGTTCGATGGCGAAGGGTTAAACTACCCAAACGGACCCTCCGTTTGGAGTGGAGACATCAACAGGGGTGATTCTTCAGGTCCTGACGTTGACCCATCTGCATCACTGGCAGCCCCCCCCATTGGGCCGGTTTGTTTGATGGTCATGGCTTAAGCTCCCGACATCGTGGCTTCTGCTAGGATCACAGCTCCACATCAACGTTGCGAGCAATGAGACAACGGAAGCAAGTCCGTCCGCACTGTGTCAAGATCCGTATCGTGTACGTACAAGGCGTCTTTAGCTCTTTGCTGGCTTGGATTCTTGACCCGAGTATTTCATTCCTATCAAACTGATTGATCAGGCTCACACCCCTTGTCAATTTACCCCTCTGCCCGTCTTTGACGGGACGCAGGGCCGTGAGAAAATGGCTGCTACATGCCAGGCACAATTCATGGTACAGTAGGCAGTCGATTCTTTCAAACTGCGCTCCCTCAACCTAACGTGGAACAGAGTCTGCTTCAACTACCCCTTTCAATGAAAGGAGTGATGTTGACTGGAGTTGTTTGCGGCCTGTCGCGATGCCTCATCTGATGTCTTTTTACGGCGCTTCGCTGCTTCGTGGCATCGAACTGTTCGCGTAAGCTAAGACATCCCACAAAAAGGTTCCGGGGGCCAGATTCCATACTGCATCTAGGGCAGATTAGTAATTATGTCATTCCATGTCATTCCTTAAACTCTGCAGGACCTCTATCGTAGAGATGGAAGAACTGCTGAAATCAAAGCAGTCTGGCATCCAGTGTGAGACCCATTTGAAGGTCGTGTGCTGATTCATCCAAGAAGCTATTCTTTGTACATGTTCCAAACTCAGGGAACTAGTGTGTCCACCTGCAAGGAAATCGGTTCCAGGAAAACAAACATGAGAAGGTACGAGAACCTGCAAAAACCTCTTGAAATTCCAGCTTTCCCTCCACCACTTTCACTAAAGAAAACTTCCAAAGAACTTTGTCAGGGATCCCTCGCACCCCATACACAAACACACACCTCTGTACACAACAGTTGACACCCAACGCTACGAAGGACTACCATGGCTTTTCATGGCCAGAACACTGGCCCTCATTCGCCAGGCAGCGACCCCAGCATTGGGTCTGCACTGTTGGGTGTTCAGGTCAAACGCCTTTTGGCGCGAGGAATCAGAAGACAGAGCGCCAATCCGCCCAGGGCGAGGAAGCTCAGAAGGGTCAGCCTGCTCGGGCGAACCTCGGGCGGCTGCAAATAAACCGCGCGTTTTGGATGCAACGAGTCTTTTGCAGCTTCCCTTTGGATTTGCAAGCTTAGCTTTGGAGTGAGCAATTTAACTTAAATTGAAGATCATCCTACATGTGTTTTGATCACGGAATCCAATCTGTCCAACGATCCGTGGCGCTCCTATGCCTGTGGAATGTGGATTCATTTTGCCCCAGAAAGGACATTTCTAGCAATCCCTCTGGGATGGGTATCTTAGCTCCAAAAGATCTTTCACAACATGGGAGTTACCATCGCAAGGGTTGGTTTAAGTCA